GGGGGGCCCCGCCCCCCAGCTGCCTCTCAGAGCCTCCCCACCATGCAGCAGCTGGCAGCTCCTGCTGTGGCCTATGTTCCTGCCCCCTCCCCACAGCGCCCCCTGCTGGAAAAGGCTGGGACTGGAGGAGCCAGGAGGCCCCCTCCAGCCAGTGCTCCTATCCCTCTCCCCACAGCGCCCCCTGCTGGGAGACACAGGGGGTTGGAGCAGATTAACACAAATCCACAAATTGACCTTCCTGTTCCTTTCTCCTAGGTAGAGTCCCCCCCAGCCAGCATTCTGTCCCCTCCCCACAGTGCCCCCTGCTGGAAGAGGCTGGGACTGGAGGAGCCAGCCAGTGCCCTGCTCCCCTCTCTGATGGCCCCAGAGCTGCAGGAAACGTTCCTGTTGGGCTCCCACTCCCACACCAGGCTGCTGCTGCCCCACTGAGCAGTCTGAGCCCTGCTCACCCCCCTCTCCCTGTCTCTCTTGCAGCCAGCCAGACCCGGGCAGGTGATGGTTCAGCCTGCCCCTGCAGCTGAGCCCCTTCACTACCTTCTGGGAGGCTGAGGAGGAGCTCGAGCGAGCCTGGAGCATCTCTCCCTACATGCAGCGCCTGGCCCTGGGGGAGCCCCGCCTGGCCAACCAGCCGCTGCCTGACGACACCACGCTGGCATCCCACGGCATCTTCGACAGCACCGTGCTGCTGCTGCTGGTAACCGAGCCCCAGGAGATGCAGATCTTCGTCAAGGCCCACAACGGCAGAACCTCCGTCTATGACGTCCGCACCAATGACACCGTGCTGAGCTTGAAGACGCGGGTGGAGAATCAGACGGGGGTCCACGCCAGCCAGCAGCGCCTGACGTACGACACCAAAGAGCTGCAGGACGACCACACGCTCGCCCATTACAGGATCCGGAGCCAGAGCACAATCTTCCTGCTTTTGCGCCTTAGAGGGGGGTAGGGCGCTCCCTGGCCCCCCGGAACTGCATCTCCTCTGGCAGGCGTCTGCTGGGTTCCAGGAGGGAGAGCAGCACAGAGGAGACCGCAGCTGGCAGGTCTCTGTTTCCCAAGAACTATTGTGTGAAATCTAATGCCCCTGCTTCCAGAATCAGCGCAGCCCCCTCCCCGCACCCCCTGCCACAACTCCCAGAAGCTGGTTTCCCTCCCCCGCCCCATGCCCCTCTCGGGAGGCCTGGCCCCCACGCAGAGATGAGTGCTGGCCGCCCACCAGACACTTGTTCCTTAGTCCTGTTGTTCTAGCCCCCTTCCTTCTCCACCCCCATCGCTCTGCTCTGTCGCCATCTCCATTACCGTGTGTGCCGCTTGTCATCCGAAATAAACAGCTGCCGTGAGCCCTGGCTCCCGAGTCTTGTGTCCATGGCACGCGAGTCCCATCTGCCCCACGGATACAGCCAGCCGGGGGTCCTTTGGAGAGGGCCGGGCCTGAGGGATTGTTGGATCATCTTTTGGAGCCCCTGTGTCTCGCAGCCTGGAGCCCTGCCCCACAATAATTCCTCGAGCTGATCCAGCAGTGGTTCCGTGGCGCCATCATGGGCCCCTCCTCCAAGCAGCCACACCAGCCTCAGCTCTGCGGGGTCCCCCAGCAGCTGTTGTGCCCTGGCAGGGTGACAAGGGAGGGGCCAACATGGGCTAGGGCTGGAAGCCGGCATCACACCTTAGCACTGGGGCATCACATGCGGTTTCCCTCTCTTCCATGCATGGGGAGTTCCCACGCCTGCCTGGCTGGGGCCAGTCCCCTCCTTTCCCCCAGTGTGACCCCAGGCCTGGAGAGGGACCGTGCCCAGCCCCATGCTGTGGGGAGACAGATGGAGGGATCCACCATGGGCAGGGTCCCTGCCATGGGCCAGTCTAGAACCCAGGCCCTGAGCCGGGCTCTGCCACTCTCAGCAGGGGGGCGTGTCCCCCACCACACAGAGGGGGCTGCTAGTGCCGCTGGGACCAGTCACAGGCAGGCACCAGCCCCACCGAGCCTGGGCAGCTGCAGGCTTCAGGACCCAGCCAGCCCTGCTCCCGGGGTGCCCTTCGCTCTGCTTCCCGGCCCCTGCCCAGCTCCCCCCAACCCTCCGGGGCCTGGGGCTCATGTTGGAGCCAATGGGATGGCAGCGTGTGTGCAGCAGGGGGCGCTACACCCCCAGGGCCTGCTGCTCTGGCCCCCGCCCGGCCCCTGAGCCTGCCAGAGCCCTGCAGCGTCTACCCGCCCCAGGTTCGGTCCTGGCTGACTCCACGTCCCCGCCCCCCGGCAGCGCAGAGCCGGTGCGTGGGCCAGGTGGCGCGGCAGGGCGGGGGGCGGGAAC